TTCAATTGAGCTCATTGTATAGGTCTCATTTTGATGATTCAAAATTGTTCATTTTGTAAGTCCTTTTGTAAATTATCTATAAAAGAATCATATTGATATGACAATCATAGTGAACACATAATTTCATTATAGATGCATCCAAAAAAGTAGACGGCTATTTTCGAAACAATGTTTGCTTATTAATTTGCTAAAATCCTACAATTTTGATTATCTGAACAATTTGAATTTTTTTAATAGATAATCTCCACATAAAGACCTACAAGATGAATCATTAAAATCATCATAGTAGACTTATGATGGAATCCATACACCCAACTGGAGAAGATCGGACCTTCATCCAACTCACAAGAAACTAGATCCATTAAAATTCATCAAGAATCATCTTATTAAGACTATTATTTTAATTTTTCAATACAATAAAATATAATGAATCAGCCGTTATAACATAAATTATAATTACATTGAAACTTTTAAAACGAATGAAAGAGACCTTAAACAAATAAAAGAAACTAATCCCATACAAATGGAGCAAATTAAATTCTTAGGCCTCCTACTGACGAGCGAAACTTATTGAACTATAAGAGCTTCGATTCATGAGTTAAATTTGGATTCTTATTGTATTTGGATCATTAATTTAAATAGAGATTTTAAAAAAAAAAAATTAACTGAAATTTCATTCACATTTCTCTTTTCTCTTTTTAAAAGGTCAACTTTTCACTATGATTTTTAAAGTCTAAGTTAATTATTTATTTAGCACTGATTAACTACTAAATGATATATATCGTGCAATAATTAATTAATGTCAAACATATGATTGTATTAGGCTTGAAAAATTAGAATGAAACTGATTTTCCTTGTTGGAAGGGACTATTAACAATTTTGCCAACATCCAAATGACGGCACAATATTAACAAAATCAGCAATTCCTAATAGATGATCTTTCAAGCCTGTTTGTGCAATCCATGACAAATATACAAACATGGCACGAGATTATAAATTTCTCTATCAGACAATTTTTATATGTTTCTAGTTGCACAATTATATATATTGTGCATCTGGAAGTATATTGAGACAGAAAATTTTGAGTACACAATAATTATATTGAGACAGAAAATTTTGAGTACACAATATGTGAAGCAAGTTAGATTGTTGGAAGGGCCATAGGAGCTCCCTTCACTCCAATCCATAAAAGATCAAGGTAACCTCCATCTCCTAGTTCATGCCTACCCTTAGCTTGCATAGTCACCACATTCTCTCTCTTTATTTATATATATACATATTTTGCATAGCCAAGGGTATTCATGAACTAGAAGTGGTTGAGTACCCTCATTTCCTTCTGAGTTGGAGTGACAGAGAGCTCCAATAGCCTCCCACAAAACCCCCAACAGAGACAACATTGAAGAGAGAACATATATATCAAATTATGTTCATATCAAGAAATGCTTGTTGGCAGGGTTTATATAGGCCTTCAGATTATTCTTTAACATGTAATCTGAACCATTGAATGTAAAAGACGTGAAATTAATACAAAATCTGGAAGAGAGATATAATAAGGACTTTTCTTAAGTGTGCAACTTACACCTTATACTTACGCCTTTCTGTTTGCTGTCCTGTTTTATATTTACACTTTCCACTTACACTTTTTGTGTTGGTTGCATATGGTGTGTAACCTTAAGGGGTTGCACACCATAACAGTACCCTAATAAGAATCTCTCTTTGTCGCTTTAATTTTACATGCCATTGGTTTGGATACCCACTTGGCTAAATGTGATTAATTTGATTGAAAAAGACATAAATGAGCATCTTTCACTTTGCTTTACATATATAGTTTATTGGTTGTATCAATATGTAAACATATATAACTTAGTGGGTCTAGATTTAATATAGGGTATGAAAGGATTCTAATTCTATAGATAGTGATTTAAAAGTGTTTGGAATTTCAAATGAATGGCTAGAGTATTAATATATTTTTGAAACTGTTTGATTGGAGAGATTTCTATTATTAACAAAAATACAATTTAAACTAGAGTATTCCACAAACATAAATTTTGTACAAAATTCTGATCCTGATAATTTTTGTACCAACAATTATGACTCATAATTTTAAAAATAAATGCTGTTCATGCATATTTTGAGCGAGAGCCTCCTCTCCAATTGAGATTGGAGGGTGCTATTGGACCTCTGTGGGCCTACCACGGAACCCGCATTGATGATCTAAACCGTTCACTATATAAGACTCGTCGAATATTTTATTCTTATAAAAAATCACATTGATGGATATTGATAGTCACTTGATTAGATCACATTTGCATAAACAATTTATTTTAAAAATCATACTTACCATTGATACAATTGTGATCTAATCAAGTGGCTATCGATATCTGATTAACGTGATTTTTTGCAAAGATAAAATACTCGACGAACCCTACACATTGAAATAGTTCGAATTATCGATATGGATTTCGTGGTGGGCCTACAGAGGCCCAATAGCATCTCTAGTCCGATTTGGATTGGAAAGAAGTTGTGGCCTATTTTAAAGGCTATTAATATTAGAGACCTATAGATTTGACCCACAAATTCATCCACAATGATGTGGTAAGAGAATAGAGCCATCAATCATTGGGTGTATAACAAATCAAAAGTTGACACTTATTTTAAAATATCATTGTGGATAGAATTGTGATAGGTTTAAGAGAGTCTCAAATATTTTTCTTTAAAGGCATTGATTCACAAAGCTTAAAATAATTGTCTATCCTTTACTGGCACTATTTCAAAGAACAGTCGTACTACATCTTCACAAAAATCTTCCACAAAAACACCCTTTCACAAACTCTTTCTGGTAAAAGTCTGTCCACTTATTTTGTAATGCTAAACTTTTACTTTTAAGAGTCTGTGAAGGGTGATTTGGTGAGAGATTTTTGTGGAGATAGATAATCTTCCTACAAAGAATTATAACTCTTTCAAACTTATTAACAAGCGTCCTTAGGACATTCATTAACAAAATCTTTTAAAAATAAAATATTACTAGCACATTATTATACATCAATTTTATGCACAAAAATTCTCAATATGGTTGTGGGATTTGACAATTGCCTTTTTAATAACTTTTTTTTATTATTTTTCAATTTTAGTAATTAAAAAATAAATAATTTTTTTACTTTTTTAGACCCTTCTAAACTAGAACCATCTTAAATAAATAAATAAATAAAATAAATTGACACATATTTTTGAAGATTTACTAAATACAGAAAAAGAAAAAAAAATGACTTTTTAACCATAGCCAAACTGATAATAATATTCCTTTAACTGAGGTTGCAAAACGAACTAAACTACTCGAGCTCGGCTCGTTTAAAGCTCGTTTAAGCCCGACTCATTTATTAAATGAACGAGTTTGAACTCGATTTTTATGCTCGTGTATTAATCGAGCAAAGCTCAAGTAGTCCCAAATTCGGCTCTATACGGCTCGTGAACATAAAGAAAATGAATTAATATTTACTTTTAATAATATTTCAAATAAATTTTCAACAATTTATTTTATTTTTCTATGTGTATTTTATGTTTGTGTAAATTTATATATTTAATTGATGAAATTTATTAAGTAAATTAATTTAAGTTTAAATTAATTTATTTTGCTCATAATTTTTTATTTATATTTTTTTATCTTAATAACTAAATTAATTTAAGTTTAAATTTTTTTTCAAACTTGAACTTGACTCGTTTATGTAATCGAGCGAGTTCGAGTTTATCAAATATTTGATAAGCCAAGATCAAGCTCAACTCTAGTTTAAAAAAAATAATAATAAAAAAAAAAAGGATCAAGCTTAATTATTTAAGCTCAACTTGAGCTCGACAATTCAAAAACTGAACTCATTTGTAGTCCTCCTTTTAACTAAGGGAAATGCTAGAGAGCTCTAAATTTAGAGCTCTAATTTGAGCTCTAGTGATGTGTCAAAGTTAAAAAAAAAACAAAAACAAAACATAGGAAAATGAGTGAGAGCACTAATTAGTGCTACCACTAATGATGTAGCAGTGGGCTCCACCATGAATGATTTGATGTTTTGGCTTTAGTGTTGTATTTTTTTTCTTTTTTTATTGAGCGCCATGTTATTAGTGATCTTTTTAGAGCTCCAAAATTAGTGGTCTCTATCATTTTTGCAAAACAAAACAAGGCACAAACATCACATCAGGGTGGATCCCAACTTCCCATTAGAGTTATTAGAGCTCTTATATTAGAGCTCTAAAGCATTTTTGTTTAACTAATGTAGTTCCTAACTTGTGAAATCGTGTAGATTATCTTTGTACTATAGCCAAGCCATTTACTTTCTCTTTTTTTTTCTTTTAAACATGGGAAACATTATATTAATAAAATATAATAACAGTATATAATCAAGACCCAAAGAGCTATCCCAACCAAACAAAAAACAAACAAACAACAAAAAAATAAATCCGCCAAAAAAAACAGCTCTGTTCCAAGGAAAACCAACAATCAGCTCAAAGATGTAGTCTGTAAAGCAAGATTTGCCTGAAAGCCCGTTGTTCCTGTTGATGTCGTCCCCGTCGCTGCTGCCCACCTTTGCCACTGTTGCCGCCAAAGAAGGAAGGACATCCACAATGATATGAGAAAAAGGTTTTTTTGAACTTGTATGGGAAAAAGGTTGACAGAGGAAGAAACAATTGTGGGTGTTAAACATCCAAAAATTTATACCGAAATCAGAGAAAAAACTTTCAAAAAATCCTATTTCAAACGTAAAAAGTTCAGATCTACGCTCTAAAACTGTAGAAGTGTAAAAAAAATTGCCGGAATATCGCAGAAGAACCACCAGAGCATTGCCCGAAATCTCTTAGAGAGACTCTCTGGAACTATTATTAACTTCAAGCCATCTACTTCAATCGCTTTTGTTTTTCAACATAAGTATTACCTATCACATCAAGAATTTGTTCATTCCTAATTTGTTTTAATAGAATATCATTGTTAACAATTCTTGGGTACAACTTTTGCATTCATCACATGAAGTATATTATTAATCTTGTAATGGCAGCTAATGTCAATGAATATACAATATATTTATTCCCAAAGAAAGAAAAAAACACAAATTACAATAGGTGAACTTTTATTACATGGTAAGATAACGCAGCAAGTATCAAAACAATCTAGAGAGAATTCAGAAATTTAAAAATAATTGCCGGATGATCATCTTTGACACCCTTGAATTCAGTAGTTAGGTATCGCCTTTCTCCAATTGGCAACAAATTTTCCAAAAGTCCAGCTCACAACAAGCTCTGTTCCATGGTTGATCTGTTTGAACGAAAACCTATAAATTATGAAAGCGAAATCGCGAAGGGAAACATGCTATTTCTTGTTGTTTTCCAATTTCTTCATAAAAACAACAATCCGTTCATCTGATTCCCTAAAAGCAAAATTACTTCCTTCAGGTGGGCTCATAGAGGCCCACCATGTGTCCGTCGACACACCTGATTGCTGCAACCTGTTAAAGCCACCATTTGTTAGGCATCAGAAGATTTTGCAGCTAAAAACCAAAGAGAGAAGGTGGGAACTTGATATATGATCCGTCAACCAAGAACCCTAACATGTTTAGTGTCCTCAATAATTGTCTGGGCATGATCGAATGTGAAGAAAATGTTGTGGGAAAATATTTCGAGTGTTACAAGTGAGCCAAAGCTGCCTAGTCAAAATTCTCCAAGTAACAAACATTGTTACACTGAGCAAGGGCAAAAGAGACTTGGTGACCTAGTTACCCCTATCCCTCTCGGGTTGAGAAAGGTTTCATTTTCATACCTAGGCTCATTGCCTTTGTGTGTTGCCCTTTCCAAAAACTAAAATTAGAAAATATAATCGAAGCATCTTACTTGGAACGTGTATTGTTCCAGTACAAGAAATGGGAATGAAAACGAGATACGACATATGCTCTAAAATATGATGCTATAGGGGTAACGTTGTATAAATCACACTACTAGTATTTAAGAGACTACTAAATATAATACCAATTACATTTTAATAGCTAGACATCGAATAAAATAGTTACAAATTAATCATGCAAAAACACAATTCTTGAAGTATTATGGCCCATTTGTTTTATATTTGGTTACGCAAAACTCCATTCTCTCTAGATTTTAGTTTATTATATTTGATTTTTGTTTCCTCTTCTAGGAAACTTCTAAGAAAATATAAACGAAAATTTTGGGATTGCTTTGGATTGCTAAATTCGCCTTTTTGGAACATAAGTGTACCAATTTTTGAACATGTGCTCCAAGACACAAATCTCTATTAGCGTTTTTAGGTAACGCTGTAATGGAACTTCAGTGAAATGGCATGTTCTGAGTGTCAAGAGCTATAGCTACTCAAGATAGAAGAAGAATGATGGTTTCACAAAGAAAAATGCTATGCATATAGAAAACTCATACAGAATGACGTAGGAGTCGCATTTTTACAATTATGAGTCCTTGTAATGGGCCTTTTGTTTTGCAACAAATGAATATAAATAAGCCACTTCATTCTGTTTGAAGTTTTTATATATAAATTTTGTTTGTATAGCATTTTTACAAATTATGCAACTTGAAAGTTGGGTTTTTTTTAACCTTTCCATGAAACTCATGTTTGATTGGACCATCCAGCTCTGCACCCAAAGCCATTAGCTTTGTCACCGTACTGTTAATATCCGTCACTGTAAAGGATAAGAGTGATGAGTACCCCTTCTGCATGGCATGTTCACTGAAAAGCTTGGATTAGCATCTAATTCAATTAAATTATATTCCAATTCAGCCATAGATAAAGAAATAAAATTTAGTATGAGTTTTAAACATCTGTCAAAGGAAAATTAATTTCCAAGTAAATATACCATCACATTGAGAAAGCAAGCCAGAAACATTACAATGTTTTCCATGTAGAATATTGATAAATAAAGGGTAAATTACAAATACACCCCCTGAGATTTGCTTAAAATATTGCGGGGAATGATCCAAGAATGGATTTGAGAATAACAAAAGTGATGCAAGCAGTGATTTGAGAAGGATGTCTCACCATCATCATGAATTTCCTAAATGAGTTAGTGGTTCGAGTGTAACTGTGAAAGTAGCGGCAATACTTGGAACAGAACAAGAACTAGAGCTTCACTTCTTCAAATAAAATATTTTCTATGATAATAGCACCATGAATTGCACATAGCAAAGCCATGCTCAACACACCTGTAACTCCCATCATACGAAATGTAACCCTTGAAAAAATTGGATGAATCGGAATATAGACACTAACGTCAAAGCTAGGTGCAAAAAACCAACCAGACTGACCTAGTAATAGTTTCACCTTGCCCCTAAAGGACCAATTGTTCCTACCTTCTGTCATAACATTAGATCAGCCAGCCTTATCACCCATACCTCAAAAGAACTAGCTATTGACCTAATCTCAGTATTACAGGTCCAGGGTAAAATCGGTTCTCTTTTCTGTTGATCCAATGAACAACCTCAACAAACAGCAATAATTTGAGTACAATTCTAGCCTCTATCAATGTATAAATCCTAAATGAAAGTTGAGATTATTCCTATGCATAGATACTTGATTGTTTTGGGTATATGAAAACACGTGCAAAAAAAGTAGAGAGTTAATAATGACTTAGATAAGCTAATAAGCAACTTATTTATGTGCTCCCAAAAATGGCATGAGAATTTATAAGGGTAATGCTAGGATACTAAATTTTCTACCAAATAAATGGCCAAATGTCTTACATAAGTGTAAGATCAACAATTTTGTATACCCCACACCATGTGAGACATTTAGTTATTTATTTAGTAGAAAATTTGGTACTTATAGCATTTTCTGAGTTTATAATCACACTCAAACATTTGATGAAAAAACCCGAGTCACCTAACAAAAATTGCACGCAAAAAAAAGAAACAAAAAAATGCATAAAAAGAAATTTTTTTTTTTTTAAAATTTTCAATTGTTTTGTTTACCCAAAATAATAATAATAATAATGGAAAATGGAAAAAATGAAAAAGCAAGCAAACAGACCCAATCCTGAGTGCCTCTATTTACACACCATATTTTGTATCAAGGCACACCACTGCTCAGTTCATACCTTTAATAATTTAAAAAAATATAATTTTTCTCAACACATACCACATCGTTCCATTTTTGTCCTTAGTCCCACACCACTTCGTACACACCTCAAATTCAAAAAAAAAAATTAAAAAAAAAAAAAAACCTAACTGTTAGACACTTACCACCGGCGGCAGCAGCCATCATCGGCAACCACCATCAACGCCAACCATGGCCACCGCCGTCAACCCTTCCTTCTGTCTTCGCAAACCATCACCAACTGGTCCACTCACAACTGACGAGGTCATCGAATTGGATTGTATTTCAATGTTATCACGGGAAAAATTAACCGATTCATTCAATACAAGTATATCAACAGTAATAAGAATTGAATCATTATTCAACAAAAAAACCAGATTTAGGGTCAAGAATCAAGGCAGAGGGTTTGAAATCACATCAACCATGAGACTTCTTGCTAGAGAAGCGGTGCCAAGAATCCCTATGAATCGAATTGGATTTGTCGAGGAGATTGACAATGGCGAGACGATAGCTAGTGAAGCAGTCCTATTTGGAAGAAGAGGTGCCTCTAGGGTCCATGATTTGGAGGTAGATTGAGATGTAACCAGGAAGAGCTTGAGAGTTGCCTTTAGGGTAAACCAAGAGGCGACAATCGTAGCCTCCGACTTTGAAGTACTTGCTCCACAGTGCCCTAGCTTTAACTTTGGGGAAATTGAAGATGCTCCATTTACACACTGCCGTGAACTCGCCGTGCCACTCTACCGTCACCAACTCTTGGCCGCCGATTGCATCTCAAAACACTGCCGGATCCTCCGCCGCCAGCCCTGACACCACCACTGAGGGTTTCTCCGATTGACTTACAACAATGGTGGCTAGGGTTAGGGTTTGGATGTTGTGCATTCAACTAGGGTGTGTATTGATATTCTTTTGTGGTCATTTTAGTCATTTTAGGTAAAGTCATTATTGTAATAAAGAATAATCAATTAATGGTGTTCCTTGAGATTAAAAGAAAAATGAGTGAGAGCACTAATCAGTGCTATCACTAATGATGTGGCAGTGGGCCCCACCATGAATGATTTGATATTTTGACCTTGGTGTTGTATTTTTTTTCTTTTTTTATTGAGTGCCATGTCATTAGTAATCTTTTTAGAGCTCTAAAATTAGTGGTCTAATAGAAGCACCCCAATCCTCCTTTCTTTATCCTCTGAAGGAAAATTTGTTAATCAATTAATACAGATCATCATGAAATACAGGCAATTGGGTACTATTATCTAGTGAAGAATAAATAAAAGAAAACAATTTTTATACTTGTATACCCACAAAAATCTCATCTATTGGTTTGAATTGACGAAAAATGGAACTAAAAATCAAAAATAGGAAAAGGGTATCAAGTAACAGAGCAAATGATTGACACCCATGTAAGAAAGAAGGAGAGAGAAAGAAAGAAACCTGGGGGAATGTAAGAGGGCGAGTTTGAGAGAACCAGATTGGAGTTCAGCCCAACGAAGAGTGCAGACATTAATGCTGAAATCCAAGCCCTCTGAGTACAACTTCGCTGCTTTTGGAACGTCCTTGTGTAGTTGCAGTATCCACCTGAACGAAGCAGCTCCCATCTTCTCTCTCTCTCTCTCTCTCCCTCCTCTGATGGGTTTCTTCACAAGTCACACACACAGGAATCATACCACCCTGGTTTTCCAGAACGCCCTCGTTTTGTTGTTCTAGCCTTCGTTTGGCTTAAACTAAAACTAGCCTATGACCCCTGCTATGCAGGCACGGATAATTATTGGTATTTTTATTTATTTTAGATTTTTTTTACTCTTTCTATCCCAAAATAATGGTCCTTATTGGGGAAATCCAATTTTTTTTGGTAGTACAACTATTGCATTTGAAAAAAGTTAATTTTTTAAAATTATCCTTTTGATAGTACATTTTTTAAGAATATCAATATCATAATTGTACTTTTTATATTGTTTATTAATTTAAAAGAATGGCAAAATAAGAAATTTATATTATTTTTGTACTTAATTTTTGAAGAGGGATTAATATTTTGGGACAGTGAAAATTAGAATAAGGGACTAATATTTTGGGACGGAAGGAGTAATATATAAATTATGGGGGAAGTTAAAAATGAGACTGCGGTAATTATATACGGATTATATCTATAATTATTTATATGAGGAGATTTTAAATGCTGATCAGAGAATTTGACTAAATCAATAAATGTAGACATATAGAAAGATATGTGGATTAAAAAAATTAATAAATGCTAATAAAGAGATTTTGATCAAATTAATAAATGCTGAGTTTTTTTTTTTTAAATAAAAAATTTAGAAAATTCAGATTGGGATATTGATGTTCCCACATGCCTTGGGAATTAAAAACTCCATTTTGCTTAATATATAGTATAGATAGATGAGACATTTTAGTCCCAAAAAATGAAATAAACTTTTTAATCTAATAAGATAAAGGGGAAAGCACCATTAAATCCCTAATTTGATAATGTTAATCCATTTAGTCCCGACGTTTTTTTGTTAGACTAATAGGTCCTATTTTATGTGTAAAGACATTAGTATCCATTTTTTTACGCGTCTGGGTCAGTAATTGAGGGGTAATTTTGGATTGGTGTTTATGTGTAATTTATCGAATTGCCCAAAAAACTTATTATAGACCTTTTTTAGATTTTCTTCCTTTTCCAAACATCCGATGTTTTTGATGTTTGTGGGTGTTTCAAACATCAGATTCATTTTTAAAAAATTTACCATCATCAAAACTCGACAGCATCATCAAATCATCATCAAACATCATCGTGAACAACAGTAACATCAAAACATCGTGAACAACAGCAACATCAGAACATCAAATTCATTTAAAAAAAATTTCTCATCATCAAAACATCATCAAAAATCGGCAAACATCATCAAAACATCATATTCCAACATCAGATTCATTAATCTAACATCAGATTCATTGATGTTTGTGGGTGTTTCAAACATCAGATTCATTTAAAAAAAAATTGAAACTATAATTCATGATCCTCATAGCCTTGCTCGAGATCCATCATCAAATTCATTAGAACATCAGATTCATCAGATTGTGGGTGTTTGTGGGTGTTTCATCAAATTCATTAATTTGAAACATCATCAAAAATCGAACCTAGACCTGCAGCTTTCCAACTGCAAACACAGATCAGCCAATGCCAACAATATTCCTTGAATACGCTTGGCTTGTAATGAACCTTTCTGCAAGTGGTTGCAAAGTTTATCAACAACATTTGCTTAAAATGCTAACTTTTGTAGGCCCTCCTTTTCTGAAATTAAACTAGACAAAGCAAAAGCAGTTTCATCTCCAACTTCACTAGGATCATCAAGAAGCTCTGCTTCAAAACCTTGAAGATGTAGATCTTGCAAGTCTCAACGCTCTTCTTCGACCTCTTCTTCTTCTTGTCTTCGGCGGCTGCTCCGCCTTCCTTCGACAGCTTCTTCCCGACCTTTGGCTTCTTCTCCGCCGGAGCCTTCTCCGCCACCGTGGACTTCTTCTCCTCCGCTGGCTTCTTCTCTGCGGGCTTCTCCTCTGCTGCTGCTTTGGGTGCCATTAGAGAGTCTAGAGAGAGAAAGCTAGGGTTTCAAAATCGAGATGAGAGAGATTGATTCGGATGGTGATGTTGATGATGTTGTTCAGTGGTGGGTAAAAATGTAAACTTTATATATAATATATCATACCAAAAATAAAAAAGACTAAATAGTTTAAGAAAAAACACTTAGGACTAACTTGAACAACATTTATTAAAATGGGATTTATGAATAATTTTTCCTAAAATATCATATTCAAATCATAATTATTTTTTATTTTTTTTCACAAAAGTCAAAAAATCTATCACAAATAAAATTTTTTAATCCCAAACTTAAAAGTTTATAAAATTAAAACGTCAACCTCCATCATAAACGATTATAATTTCTAAAATTTGACTATATGGACCTATGGGCCATTAAGTTGTCTTTACAAGGTCCGCATACTTCTCTACGAAAAGGCCCAGACATCTTCATAGTCTATAACATATATAAAGAAAGGAAACCAGCATCAATCTAACACAAGATGACAAACGTGTCTAAAGCCCAATTGCCCTCCATATTGTGGTTTATTATCCTTTCTGCCCTGTTGTTGGTTGCTCATTACTTATTATTTACTTATAGATAAATTATTCTAACGGTATGTATACTTCGATCTTTAAATTTTTAATTGTGACACATTTAAACTTAAATTTTAAATTTTATTTTAAATAAAGATAATTGAAGATACTATTATTCAATTTCAAAAGCAAAATTGTCAATATAATAAAATATAAACTAATTTGATAAAAATAAATATCAAAAAATATTTTTGAATTTTTAAAAATTATATCTACTCACTAAAGATAAAATTATGTAAAATTGATAAATTTTTTAGACATTTATTTACTTATTTATTTATTTTACCAAATTAATGTTTATTATGTGTTTGGATAATAATCATGTAATGGTTAGTTATTTTTATTTTCATTAAATTAGTTTCTATTTTTTCAAAAGTCAAATATGACAATAACTTTGATATCATTATTAAACTAATCCATTAAATTAAAAAATTCAAAACTAAAACATTTTTTTAAATAAGGACAATTGAAGATATTATTGCTCAATTTCAAGGGCAAAGTCGTCAATGTAATAAAATATAAACTAATTTGATAAAAATAAATGTTAAAAAATATTTTTGAATTTTTAAAAATTATTTCTACTCACTAAAGATAAAATTATATAAATTTGATAAATTTCTTATTTATTTATTTTACCAAATTAATGTTTATTATGTGTATGGATGATGATCATGTAATAGGTAGTTGTTTTTATTTTCATTAAATTAGTTTCTATTTTTTCCAAAGTCAAATATAGCGACAACTTTGATATCATTATTAAATTAATTCATTAAATTAAAAAAATCAAAACTAAAAGCATTTCATATATTGAATATATCCATTACACATTAAAAGCCTAACAACCACTCATTACATGATTATCATGTAAACACATGATAAAGACTAATTTGGTAAAAAAAAATAAAATAAATATCTAAAAGATTTATTAATTTTACGTAATTTTATCTTTGGTAGGTAAAATTATTTTTAAAAATTCAACAATATCTTTTTGATTTGTCAAATTAGTTTATATTTTATCAAATTGACGACTTTGCCCTTGAAATTGAGCGATGGCATCTTCAGTTGTCCTTATTTGGAACAAGATTCCAAATTTAGGATCAAATGTGTCACAATCGCAAAGTCAGAGATCAAAGTGACACAAGTCTCAAATTATAAGAACTGTTGATGTAATTCGCCCTTTATTTATTTTTAACTGGTTGATTGCTTATCATGACTTTTGAATAATTTTTCTTTGCTGGTGGAGGAAGGCTAACAAAGCTCACAACGAGGGGTTAATATGGTCTGGCTAGGATCGATTTAGGATGAAATCAATATTAAGTTATTGGCTACAATTCTAAAAAAATTAAAATATAATTAACTCATTAAAATTATGAAATTGATCAAATTAAACTATTTAAATACAGCTTGGTTTAATTTGAAACCGACATTTTCAAAAAAAAGTAACTTATTATAAATTTTAAAAATAATAATAACATATCCATTAAACAAACTACTCTCAATATATCAATTTTATTGAGTATTTTATTAATACAAGAGGTATATGTCATTTTTTTAAAAATAAAAATAAAAATTAAATGTTATATATATTTTGAAAAAAAAAATATACTTTCTAGATTAATTTATTTTTCTTGTAAAATAATTTTTTCATAATGATTTATATATGGGTTATGAGAGGGTAATATATAAGAAAATTGGGCCGAGCTGGGCAATGGGCCGTTATGGGCCACAGTACGAAGGACTGAGTAAAATGGCCATGAAGTTATTCCGGTCCAAATGAGGCTTGAAGTTATTCCGGTCCCAAAGAGCTACGGTTAGCTCAGTCACCATACTAAAAGTTATACCGGTCATGGCGCAGTGGTATTAGATCGGTCGGAACCATGCTAATTATTAGCTCGGTCCAATCATGCTATGGCTTGTACAGGAGGAACCGAGAGTTATCCCGGTCTGATCTGCGGCTTAGCATAGCTATGCTTACCTCGGTCATATTGGAGTCCGACCATGGAAAAACTATCTCACTTGGTTTAAGCAGTGAGGGGGTGTTTTAGGAATGTGATTCCTAGGAGGACTCTACATGGAGGAGTAAGAGTCCTACTAGGATTGTGCCACGCGGAACCTATAAAAGCTCATAACATCACCTATGGAGAGGTAACACAACTTTGATTCTCGAATACGCAGAGCTTTTTATCTATTTGTCTATTTTGCTGACTTAGGCATCGGAGAGGTATCCGGCACACACCCGCCGGCTAGCTCACGTTTGTGTTTTCAGGGAATAAAGCGACGACGTACGGAGGAGCGCAATCTTGATCAACAGGATTACACGAGAAGGTTTATTTCTTTCCCGTACAATTGGCGCCGTTTGTGGGAATTCAGACAAGGACAAAACCTCTTGATCAAGCTTTACCTCTTTAGAAGCAATGGCGCACAATGAAGATTTACCGCAGTCCGCCATCGACGGACAAACACCAAAGGGGGTGCAAGGCGTGAAGGCCTACCTTCTATCCCTCCTATGGCAGACTTGGAGCCACAACGACAGAATCCCAGGAGGGATGCTAGGGGGAGG